GAACCATAATGCCCAGCTGTCAGCCTCCGGTGTAGCTAGGATTACAGGTATCCAGCTCAAAATATTTTTAAATCAAATTGGCAAAGTTGTTTTTTTCTTTTTTCAAGGTATTATAAGCAGGATCAAGAAAAGGCATAATCTTCCCAGACAGTAATTTATTTGGCAATATTTGACATAAGATGTGAAAGGCGACACACACTTCCAGACATCACAGCTGACCTCTGTGGAGGGCATGTGGAAAACAGCTCTACGCATGCTCTTTGACCCAGGACTTGCACATCTAGGAATGATTTTAAAGAAATGACTGGGTGAACATGCAGAAAATATTTAGAAGCTTCAATGTTGTAAATAAAATATATGAATATGCAAAGGGAGACTGAGTACATAAATATTGACATTCTTAGGAACTTAAAACATGTAATTGGGGCAGAGAATGAGATATAATGTATCAAGATGGAAAGATGTCCAAGATACATGTATGGTGGCATATCACAAAAGGGCAAGCTGTGAAATATCACATACAATAAAAGAATATGTATAAGTATGCATAGGCACATGCAAAAATATTAGCACTAGCTCTTAGAAGTGTGACACTGAATTTTTATATTCTTATCAGGAGTTTCCCTTTGGTTTAAATTTTCCAATGATCGTTCATCATTTTTATAACAATAAAAAAAAAAAAACCATTCTCAGCTAGGAGCTGGTGCTAACTATTCAGGAGGCTGAGATCTAAGTATAAACCGATCAAAGCCAGCCCAGGCAAGAAAGTCCTTGAGATTCTTATCTCCAACTAACCACCAAAGAAAAAACTGCAAGTAGAGCTATGGCTCAAGTGGTATAGGGCTAGCCTTGAGTAAAATAAACTCAAGGATATCATCCTACTCCTGAGTTCAAAGCTCCAAGACTACCTCCAAAAAAGAAAAAAAACTATTTTCAAAGGTAGAGAAAATCATGGGGGAGGGAGGAGATGTTAGAAGAAGAGTTGTACATTCACTACTGGTAATTCACTTTCTGGAATTTAGTGTATAAGACAGTAATGTATGTGTATAATGACGATCATGGTAATATCCATAAGTATTAATAAATAGTAATGAATAATTGATAATTAACAACAATGTATCAATACTGATGACCATTAATATACTATTAAACATTAAGATTCTGATTAAATAACTGCAATAGAACTAGATGTTATGAACATAGAAATATATTAACTTGGAAATATTTCACAGTATCTGGGTACAGGAAATGAAAGGTAAATAAAGAGATTTTTACACTCATTCTGGGTTTTTTATTCATAGATACATAGGCAATACATACATACATACATACATACACACATACATACATACATAGACAGATAGAATAAACACCCAAAGGTTATATGCCAAAAATATATACCTCAGTAACTAGCCATTCTTATTTTCTTTATCTCTCAGATGTTTCCATAATAAAACACGTATCATTTGACATAGTAGTTGTTTTACATTTTTACGTTTTTTTGGGGGGGAAATCCTTGTACATTTTCCAAGTTTTAAAATATTAGGGAGGAGTTAAAATGATCCCAATCTGTGAAGAACAGAACCATGAGAGTCTCACCACTTGGATCTATCACAGAAGGTGCCACCCAGAGACCATCCCCAAAGCCTCCTTCAGCCAATGTGCTTCATTCACACTGCAAAGAACTGAAAACAACATTCCTACAGAACAAGCACTCCGAAGACTCAAGATACCTATTCTGATTCTGTGTCCTGAGATGTACGGAGTTATAAAACATACTGGCTCAGATTACAGGCTAAATGTGACAAGGCCGTCTGGTACAACCTAACAAAGGAATTTACACAGAATGGGACATTTACACATCTCCTTTCCCAGGCTGGCATGAATCACAGAAGCATAGCACTCAGTAGGGTTAGGTGGGTCTTCAACTCTACGTGCTTCTGAATTATGCCTTAGAGCTATTTCTTACATGACTGACTTAGTACAACAGTAGACCAGAAAAAAGAAATCAACTGCTGTTTCTGAAGGTGACTTAAATGAGAAGTGAGAAACAGTGTATTTTAACTGGGTCAAACTTTCTGCCTATTTTTCAGGTGAACTGGGACTGGGAGATGCCCCTCTTCCCAACCTCCCCCCCTTCTTCCTCTCTCCCTCCCTCCCTCTCTCCCTCTCTCTCAAGACCATTCTGGCTGATAACAATACTTGTTGGTCTGTTGGGGGAGTTTTCCCCCCCTCCTGGCTAGTATAGATGACACATTTTTTCCTGTAGTTTGTCTTCCTGTAATGTTCAGGAATTCCTGCACTTTCTGAATGCCCTTCCTGCTAACTCACATTTCAGATTTCCTCAAAAAGCATATTCCTGTTTTAATATTTGGGGAAAAAAAATTTGAAGTCAGCTCAACTCCAGACAGCTCATATAAACAAGCTGAAAACCAATAGCACCTAAAGTTACAACTGAGGAAAACAAAATTTCTTTTTAAGAAATTCTTTCTGGGAATCCCAACAGTTGGTAACACTGAAAAGAAGTGACCCAGTCCTTGCAGCTTCCAGCAGTCTGTAATTCTTTGCCCCTGCTGGGCCTTAAATTAGAGGTCTGTAAAACTGAATTATAGTGATCTAGAAAGTTCGTCAAAAAAAAAAAAAAGGCCTGGAATTGAACATGTTGTTAAATTCTTCAATACAGGGAGATTGTATCCACCTTTCACTTTTCCTCCCATTTCATTTGGCTAGCCTATTAGAAAGAAGTTTAGTACTGTAAAAATCCGTTTGGGCCATTTGAGGTTAGTCTCCTGGCTGAATGAAGGTAATTCCCCATTTTTCCAAACCCATGCCAAGTCTTCTATGCCATTTCAAAAATGATCACCCTTTTCTCCCCCCCTCCTACACACACACATACACCCTGCCCACCAATAATTTTTCCCTTTGGAGAAGAACCCCATGTTCATATCAGATACTTTTCAAACTGTTCAGAAAGCCCAGCCAGGTAAATGGAAATTGATTTAAAGGATCATCTAATCCATTATAGGCACACCCTCTATGGCAGTGTCCACTTCCCAAGGGCAAAGCTTGCTCTAGTAAGAAGCCAGAAACAGGCAGAAAGGAACATGATTTAGTTGAGCCCCTCTGGTCCAAAGAACAAAATTCACAGCCCACACCCTCTTCATAAGGCCTGACTAGTTCCCCCCTCCCCCCCCCCCACACACACAAGAGCCGTGAAGCTCCAACACTCATTGATTCTATACCTGTCCTCTTATGTGGTGTTTTAGGACAAGGGAAAGACTTGCCTGCTTCCACCAACCACATAAATTCCTTGACAGAAAAGAGTGAATGTGAGATACCCTAGGATTACACACCAAATTCCGTCCACACAAAAACCCATACAAGTTGTCTGCACATACATTTACACATATGTATACATCCATACATAAAACTTATGTCATGCTATGCCTTATGCATCTATGAAATGAAATGGGATGAAGGACTGGATGTTTACCAAACAAAAAGGAGGCAGATGCCATGACTTGAATATGTCATAGTGAAATGGGACTCCCTCTTCAAAACTATTATTTCTCGGGTTCAATTTGAGTTTAGATTTTCTTCAGGTAAGGGGCATCTCCACCCTAAAAGGCCAATCCCTAGGTTCTAAGGCCCTCTTGGTTTTTCTCAGAATTTCATTCTCCCCTGATATTCAAAGAGAAGCAGAGTTCTCCTTTGAAATCCAGAGAATCATCACCTTCTTCTTGGGCTCAGCTAGGTGATTTCACCGGGTAAAATTAAAAACTAGTGCAACTGCAAACAAAAGTGGCAAGGAAGAAAAGCAGGAAAAAAAAAAAAAAGCTTATTAGATACTTTAATAATCGTTGTCCCAGGTATCCTGAATGTACCTAAACTACCTCTCCTTTTCCTATATTCTCAGATAGCAGATGCTTTCTCTGTGGGGAAGAAGGAATTGTTCTGAAACAGGTGACGGATAGGTTCCCCCAGGTATGTGACAGCACCCCTTCAAACCCATGCCACATGAAGATTGATTTAAGTGCACCCCCTCTTACCCTCCCCCCAGGATTACATTAAGCCTGGAAAATACAACTCTGGAAGAAAAAAAAAAAGAAGAAGAAATTAAGGAGGAAAAGGAGGAAAGCAAGCAAGCCACTTTAATCCTGAACTTCTGAACTAGTATAGCTGAGTAAATATATCTCATTCAACACTTAAAAGATTGCATTATGGTTGCTAGTGCAATAGTACAGTTTCCCCCCCTCATATTTCCTTCCCCCAACACACACAAAGCATCCCCCAAATAAGCAAACACATCGAAGGTTCCCACAGCTACCTCTAAATACCTTGAGCCAATAAGCAATTGGTGTGTAAGTACAAAATCTCGGGAGAGCAAGACTTCTTGCTTGCTTTTTCTTTTCTTTTTCTAATATGCTGTTCTCCACACTTCACCTTTACTTACTTTAAAAATCAAAAGTCGCCTACTGTTCAAAGCGAACTCAGAGGAAATTTAACTAAATGCTGACACCCCAACGGGTTTATTCCCAAAAGAATATACGATTGCATTAATTTCCTAGTACTTTCACTCAAGTTTTACCTTTCATCTTCACCTCCAGACTTCTGAAAAGTTTGTATTCCTGTTGCATACAAAATGCCTTATAATATGTGTGCATGCTAAATAATTGAACAATTACATAAAGCATTGCACATTTACACTCTACCAACCTGCTATATCTCTCCTGACTGTGCAAAAGGCAAAAAGAGCTCACTAATCCTAGCAGAAGAATGCAAATAACGTCAATGCACAGCTGAACTGCAAGCCCTGCCTTACAGGAACTCTCTGTGTCTGCAAAAAAAAAAAAAAAAGACATACTAAACAGGAAATGCAACTGAGCTGTGGAAAACCTCAAACTTAAAAATGCAATCACGAGGCGAAAATTGCATCCATGCATTCGTAAATGCATGCATAACCCTTTGCATTTTTGCAAGTAATGCAAATAGCCTCTTACCTTTCGACTGAGACATTTTCCCCTTTGCCTTTGATGGGGGAGGGGAAGCACAAAAGACTTTGCCTTGCTTCTCTTCTGTAGCTAGTTTTGCAACAAAGATGCAAACTGAAGGCGTGCAATCTTCATGCAAGTGGAGTTTCTCTTGACCGATGCAGCAGATGGAGTTTCAGGGAATCAAGATGGAAATGCACACCTTGCAAAACAGACTGGAAAGTGATTTTCCTTCCAGTTGCAACGTTAGGGAAGGCTGTGCTGCAGCTACATGATGGGCCAGGGCTGGCAGCTAAAAGCTCCAAACTTGGAACTGAGTATCTTAGTGCGCAGACGTCCTTCCTGCGAAGGCCGCGGGCGCTTCTGGGTAATGTAGTTCCCAGGTGGAGTCCTCGGGGCTCTGATTTAAGGAAACGTGGTCTTGCTTCTGGCTGACAGAGGTGACTGGGCGCGACCCAGACAAGTTCTGATAAACACATAGATAACACCTGAAGTAATCATTGAAGGACGGGGTGGGGGAAGGAGAGGGGAAGAAATGGCAAGATTAGCCAGAAAAGCTCCTGAAACACCAACTAGAGACCCTTAAGGTAACTAAAAAGCTTTTAGGGTCCCTTTAGGTGAAGTCTGCATGTTCGATGTGTGCATTTTGCTTTTTAACACCTGTGTACTGCTCCTGCCGTTAGTTCATTAAAACGCCACCCACCTAAAAAGCAAAAGAAAGCAAGACATTTTTTCCTCACATGAGCCTTTTTGATTTAAACCTGCAGAGAAGGGAAAAAAATGCAAGTTTAATTTAATGACCAAAGGATCCAGGTAAGTTATTTTCAAGGCAAGGCTGAGGTGGGAAGGTTGAAGAGTTCGCATTCTAAAAACTGGGTAAAGGCATCTTTTTAAAAAGTTGCCTCTTCCAAATTCTTACAGAGGAAATGCTGCATTTTATATGTGTAGGCCAATCTTACCCATGTTAAGATAGCTCCATTCCCCCCCCCCCATTCTTTTCACCTGTGGGGGATGGGAATTGAGAGGGATGTGACCAAGCCGGGGAGTGGGGAGGGAAACAGGCAGGTGGAAATCTTCAGTGAACCAAGTGGAATATCTTCAATGTGGTCAGTAAGATCAACAGATCTTCATTCCTTGAGCTCTAAGGAGCCAGAGATCTCTTTAGGGCCTTGGTTTTGTCCAATTTATGCTGTACAGTCCATGGCTAAGAGGTGAGCAACATCCTATTGGGAAAAAAAATAGTAATAATAAAATGCAATGTCCTCTCCACTTGTTAGCTAGAGATGGAGAATTCCCAAAAAGGATCACGAGCAGAAGTGAAAGAAATTAACCACCCTCAGGAATGTTCTGGAAGATAACCACATTGCCTATAGGGACTCTAGAGCTTAGAAGGTTGGACTTCAAAGTTACTAGGTTTAAAAAACAACAACAACAAAAAAAAGGTGGGACCTAATCAAAGCAGATTTGCCCTGAGCAATCCAATAGGGTAGGTTAAAACTGGGATAGGCTGGAGATAAATGTCACTGGAGGCAAAAATAAATAAATAAAAATCACCTAGATTTGATGGTGAAACTGTTTGGAAGCCAAGACCCTCTGAGTAATGGATGAATCAGCTAGAAGGCCACTCTGTGTCAGCTGCAAATCAGCAAGTCAGCTTCCAGAGCAAGCAAGCAATGGGTTATGGGCCTAACACTAGTTCTGACAGCCCCAGCCTCCTAACTGGCATTCTTGAGATTTAGTTTAGTTAGCCTCACACACCCAAAGGGACAAGCTTCTGGGCCTGAGAAGATGGCTTTTCTGTCCTAGGAGCACAGTTTCAAGGACTTTCTAACTCTCCTCTTATGGCCTTTAGGGCCATTTGTTCTGTAGACAAACTCAAAGCCTTGCACATCTAGCATTTTTTTCCCCTGAGTTTCATTTAACCAGGACAGACAACCATTTCAACATACCCAATTGACATTCCAAACAGAACATCTGCTTCATAAAGGCCTTGGGGTAATCTATTGAGCTTCACATAGGCCTGCTTAGCCCAGGCAGAGCCTAAACAATGGTTCCAGTTAGTTTGTACTAGTCTTAGAACTTGAACTCTGGGCCAAAGTACATTCCCTTAGCTTTGTCACTCTAAGGCTGATGCTCTACCACTTGAACCACACCACTTTTTGCTGATTCATTGGAGGTAAGAATCGCTGGGATTTATCTGGCCAGCCTGGCTTTGAAGCCTGATCCTCCAATCTCAGCCTCCTGAGTAGCTAGAATTACTGGCGTGTGATATGAGCAGCCCCAGTGACTAGCTACTTTTTTTTTTTTCTTTTCCTTCCTGGTAAAGGTAGATCCTGAATTCTTTGTAGGGAATTTAGATGACAGAGAGCCCAACCTCGCTGGGAAGTTGTAGCTTCCAGAAGAAAAAAGTTCTTCTGGCTTTGAAAAGGCCTCCCTCCTCCTCCCACATTCCTGCGTGGTAGAAGAGGCTGTACCTTGGCCTCTTTGCCAGGTCTTCATAGTTTGTAGCCTTCTTAGGAGAGGAATCCCTCCCAAGATGGAGTAAGAAACCTAGAGAGATTTCTGGAAAAACTGGTCTTTTGAAAGCACATTGTTTACCTGCAGGTGAACCTGGTGTGGGTTTTGTTTTGTTTTGTTTTGCTTTGGTTTGGGTTGGGTTGGGTTTTTTGTTTTGTTTTTGTGCGTTCTAACTACCACCTTTATGATTTTCCTGGACTCTAGATCTTTCTCAAATGCAGATCTGATGGTATTCTCCCTGTTTCTGTTTATCTTCAGAATCAATTCCAAAGTCCTTAACTCAGTACAATTGGTTCCTCCAGACCTGAGCCCTGCCTACTCTGCTGTAGCTGTTTCTTCTAGATTAATACAAAAGCCACCGTTTCTAGCTCTTTTCTTCTTTAGATGTGTTGTTCTCCCTGCCTGGCAAACCTGTTCTCTTATCTACTTAGGTGTTCTGGTTTGTCTTTGACCACCTTCAGTGTCAATCCCATACACCCCCTAATTCCCTAAAATCCCACACATACATCTTTCCTCATACTTCTCACAGGATTGATGGGAGTTCATACATGTATGTGTCTCCAAGGAGGTTGGAGGAGTGGAGATCAGAAATGTTATTTATTAACTCTACCTTTTCCAGTGCCCCGGACAGTAGTTAGCACATCTTGTGCTCCAATGTCTGTTGAAATAATGAACAGAAGGAGCAAGGACCTGTAACCTTGGCTAATCTGGAATGACTAGATTCCAGCACTGTAGTTACCACCTCATAAGAAAACAGAGTACCTGCCCGGGGGAGGAGGGGGGGTGCTGTCGGGCAAGCCCTATGCCATTCGGTTAGAGAGGTTTGAAATTCTTGAGTGGAAGTCCTTTAGACCCTACAGTTTCTAAAGGAATATTCTACAACTATGTGCTATGCTGAATAGGGGAAGTGGTGGCATGAAGTGGTCCCATACAATTTTGGGTCAGGAACAGCATCTATTTCGGTAATAGAGCTTCTCACCTGGGGGGCAATGTTGCCTCCTGGGGGACATTTGCCAATGTCTGGAGATGTTTGGTCACAGTGGGACAAAGGCAGTGACGCTGGCATGTGGTGGATAGGAATAAGAATGAGATCATTGCCAGGCACTGGTGGTTCACACCTGTAATCTTAGCTACTCAGCCATTCAAGACTCATGGCTGATCAGAGAGAGACAGAGAGACAGAGAGAAAAAATGTGATAAGCATGTAGTGGAGTGCCATAGGAAGCCCCTCCTTCCCACAAGGAATTCTGTGATTCGCGTGTAAAATTTGAGAAACTTATTTTATATCTGGAAAGCTACTGAAAGCTCTAGTTGTTGTTGTTTTACGTTAATGACTCAGAAAATTCTAATTATTTGGACCTAGAATCTAGGATATTTAGATCACAGTCTCTGGGCTGTCAATGTCAGCTGTGTCTCCTGAGGCAAATTACTGAAGCTTATTTTTAGTTGGTTGTGGGACTTGAACTCTGGACCTGGGCACTGTCCCTGAGCTCTTCAGCTCTTCAGCTCAAGGCTAGCACTCTACCCCTTGAGCCACAGCACCACTTCTAGTTTTCTGGTGGTTAATTGGAGATCAGAGTCTCGCGGACTTTCCTGCCCTGGCTGGCTTTGAACTGTGATCCTCAGATCTCAGCCTCCTGAGTAGCTAGGATTACAGGGGTGAGTTTATCACCGCAACTTTCTGTGCCTCTTTTGGTTCCATGGTAGAGCACAGAGGGTTTTCCCAAGCCCCCTCTACTTGTAACATCTCTATGGTTCTCAGATCTGAGTAAAATTACTAACAATTTAAACATGGAGGGGGTTTGTGGTTGCTGTTGTTTAGTTTTTTGTTTTTATTTTGTTTTGTTTTGGGTTTACATCAGATAAACATCTTTATATTTGGGAGTTAAAATGTTTGAGTTTCTAGCACAGTACCAGTGATTCATGTCTGTAATCCTAACAAATCAGGAGACTGAGATCTGAGGATCTGGATGATTCTAAGCCAGCCCAGGCAGGAAAATCCTTCTCACTCATCTCCAATGAACCACCAAGAAGCCAGACAGAAGCTGGTAGCACATAGAAGATAGCAAGAAGCAGATAGAAAGTGGTTGAATGCTAGCCTTGAGAAAGAAGAGAAAAAGAAAAAATTTAAGCTCAGGGACAGCATCCAGGCCCTGAGTTCAAGCCCTAGGTCCCACACAATAAAAAAGAAAAAACAAATTCCTGTCTTGCTTTGGCAAGACAATCACTGACTATCATAACATCGCTTGAGAGATGAGACAAGGCATATTCATATTACTCTTTGTAATATGACCTCTCAGGGAGCCATACTAATCTGCACATGACATATCAGAATGTTCTCCAAAAGTGCTTATAGGAATGAGTGTCTGGAACAAGAAAAAGGAGGGTGTGAACATTAGAGCTACAAATTTAATGTGAATAGGAACCTTTCCTAAATTCTAGAAAATCCTTCTATGTATACACACATAACCATTCTGTGTATGCAAACACACACATACATATATATATAATAAATACAAATGTAAGTATATTTTATATATAGTATTTCATATTGTATTTTGTATGTATGACATATGCTATATATATTATACTTATCATATATTACTATATGAAATACAATATTTAAATATATTCTTATGTGAATATATAGTATACATATTTGAGTTCTTAGCCAGAGCAAACATATATAATACATACACATATCTACTATATTCTATATCCGCATGCATATATTATATACATTTATGTATGCATGTATACTGTATATATTACATATGCATTTAATTATATATACATACATTATGCTTACATGTATATAT